CGAAATATTCGACTGGATGGATTAAAATGGTCCACCCTGTATATATATGAGAGAAACCATGAAAATAAGCGACTGTAAGATCTGTTTGTAGTTGAATGCGATAATGGGAGACCAGCGTTGCGTGTAAGCTTTTGTAAATGATAATTTATACAACAAAATTTTTATAAATAACCATGTGAAAACACCTTCAAGTTGAGCCTTACTGATCATTTAAATTTCATCTGTGAAATTTAAATTCTAATATTTTCCTCTTTGTCACTTATGTATATTAGTTATGTTAATTAGTCGTGAACAAATTTCCTATTGAATAATATAATAAAAATCTCGTTTGCAAATAATTCACTTGTATACAATCTTTAAATCATTTATCTCAACTAATTCAAAACGACGTACATAAATATAGAGTTTAAAAAAGTATTTTAATATTTTTTGTTTATATCAATGTATGATTTTTATTATTGTTCACACATGAGCGCTTGATATCTCTGTTCTTTTCCTTTCCCTTTCTTTTAATAACTTAAGTGGTAAAAAATTATACAACTGCTCAATTATACGCATCAGAAAACTATAATTTCTCTTCCAGAAGTATCTTCTTCATCTCCTGCATCATCTTCATCCTTTTTCTGTTGCTTTTTCTTTGATGTAGCATCTTTCTTTTCTTTTTGAACCTTCTTAAAATTTTCCAATGAATCTTGCAGTGGGTCAACAAACTGATCAAATTCGATATCAGTCATTGCTTGAATAACATCCTGTCCACTGATAGTTTTGCGATTTCCTTTCTTGGCTATTATATTGGCAGATGACGTGAGATACAATATGAAAATAGACGCAGCTTTCGCTACTGCTGTTCTAGCGTCTTTTCCAACCGTAACTCCATCAGGCAAAGCTTCTTTTATAATTCTGGTAACCACAGCATTGGGTAAATTCAGATCTTCCAATCTTTCAGCCATTTGATATCGTACACACGTGCAAATCTAAACGAATGTGTCGTAATATTCGTAAACTATGTTGAAAATGATCGAATAAAGAATTAAATTATTTCTATTACCTCAACTTCAACTATTTCACAATCTATCCGTCAATATCTTCAGTTTCGGCGGTCTAACGACAGGTTACGTTTTTCCCGCCAGCGCGGTGAAAATAGCATTTATCAAAAGAAATGCGCACCGTTGTTAGAAGCAACGGATATCGATTAGAGAGTTTCAAAATTTAGCTAGACGAAGAATTACAACCATAAACAGTAAATTATAATAATGCAGTTAGTTCCGTACACAAAGAATATAAATGCAGGTTAGAAATTTAAACGGATGAAAACAGGTATAGACCATGGATCTAAGAATATAGGGATGAAAGAATATAAGGCAGACCCGGTGGCAAATCTGAGGTAAGAGGGGTATAATACTGTCTCTTTCTACAATAGGACATTGGGTGCGTTCTCTTTGGACGCTCACGCATTGTAACCGCTCATGCTTATAAGCGCTATTTTCAGTCGTTCCTTTTGGTTGTTAAGCGTCTACAAATGCTTACACCAAATCGTTTCCTTTGGTATTTATGAGCGGTTGTAAGCGCGTTAATGATGGATAAAAATTGATTCCAATATTATTTGTTCAAACATCACACACTAGACATTATATTTTCCCACAATTATATTAATATTAGAAAGATAATATTAATATTATAATAGCACTAAAACATCTATGTTTTGCTCCTAAAAACTCGTAATACATTTGATATTTGGTTTAACTAAGAAAAACATATTTTCTTACTAGCAGTTTATAACTTTAACAATAATAAACTTACCAGTTTCTATACGTGTTGCTTTCTCTGGAGTTATAAATGTTATATATATATATATATATATATGTTTCCCGTTTCAAAATCTTTCAGCTGCATTGCAAACTTCTCGTTTGCCATGTTTACTTTTGTATTCACAAGTTACAGATTTGCATTCTCTTTAAGCCATCGGCACATGATATTTGTTTCGTGCTGGATTGCTTGTTGGATAGAAATACTGCATTCTATTTGGTGCATTTCCAAAAATGGATGACAATATACCAATCAAAACGCAGTATTTCCATCCAACAAACAATCTAGCACGAAAATAGGCATCGCGTGCCGCTGGCTTTAGATGTTCATGCGCTGTAAGCGTTCACGATCACGCTGCCCTAATGGAGAAGCAGTTGTAAGTGCGAGTTATGATGAAACAATAGGTCTACTTTTTTTCAAAACACTCTGAACTAGTGCACACCAGTGCAAGGAGTTTACACTAAAGCGCTCTTTATATCGAGAATGACGTCATCAATGCTGTTCGTTTTCGCAGTGCAACAGCATATAGTGCAGGCAGTTCAGTGAACTGTTGCACTGAGTCAAGAGTGTGGTCAGTGCAGTGCATGAAAATGTAGCATGGAAGTGCACGTAAGCGTAACGGAAATTTATACGAAAAATTTCTATCAGGTATGTGGCTTGCGTTATATTGAAATGTGTGAAACATCTTCTTTATTCCATTTTCAAAACTTGATAATATTATACCATAAGACACACATACACGGCAGTAATGTCCAGTAAACATGCCACAAGGATGAATTTAAGATGTCAAGATATTTTTATGGTTTTATATTTATATTTATTTTATATTTGGTCATTTATTTAAATTTATAATCGGTAGGGTATATAATATTATAAATTATTGATAAATTTGCTATATTTAGTTGTATATTACACTCATCGTTTTCATCTACAATAGGTTGTAATAGTGGTTATATTACAACAAAATCCTCTTCGTCAGAAGAATCAAATAATGCCATGTGATGCGCCATGTTGTTTACTACACTGGCGTTTCAGCGGTGCAACGAAAATGAACAGATCTCTTCATTGCACTTTTGCACTGAACTATTCTGTCTTTCCCAGTGCGGTTCAATTCAATTCAGTGCAGTTCTAGTGAAGTTTTAGTGTAGCGAAAAAACAGACCTAATAACGTCATTACGCGTTCTATGGGTGCTCACGTTGTCAAAAGGAACGGTGATGGTTATAACAGTTTAAAATGCGTAAGCGTTCAAAGCGAACGCACCCACTGTCGGATGTTCCGTCGCGTACCCGTTAATTCCTGGAATTATAGATATATTCTCCAATCTCCGAATTAAGGATGTTTAAGTGTAGCAATCGGATTTCCAATCGAATCAATCGCAATGCTATCAATGTATAAGGGAAACAAATTCTCTAGACTAATCAGATTTCTAAATTGTCCGTGGGACAATCGGATTAGCGGATGAAGAGAAACTTGCGAGAACATTTACTCGTTTCGTAAAAAACAAATATCGAGAAAGAAATTAAAAAGTAGGTATGTACTTTGTTATTTTTATAATAATTACCATTCATTATCCTGAAAATGTAATAGATAAATAGATGAATTTATATTTTATGTGTATATGTTAGAGAAATAAGTAGATTATAACCTAAGTTTCAATCGTTAATATACAGCTCGATGACGAAGTAAAAAAAAAAAAGAAACAATCGTTAACATATAAGATTATTGAAATATAATATTTTCAGATAAAATGGAGGTAAACGAAGAAGCATTTGAGCAGGATCAGTTTGGTACGTATATTATACAATTAAAAACAAAATTGTTATCTTTTTTAACACATTGACTGCCACGGAACTTTTCACGATTCTGGTCTATGAAACCAATTTGATTTCATCAAGTAATGAAGCGACGAGATAGCTCGTAGTTGGCGTCCTGGGCAAGTAAACAACCTACGAGATATCTCGTAGTTGGTAGTCAACGTGTTAATGTTCTACGTAAAATAATTGTGAGTGCTTCTCAACAACATGCTTATATATTTCATGTGACACAGTACATGTAAAGACATAAAACATGTTTGCACGTACATTTTATTAATACAGCGTGCCTTCCAGTAACGTACACAAGTGACAATGTGTAACATAGTATACAACCCAGTGTTTTCCAACAAGTCAACAGAATCATACAGTTAAAATGTTGTGTTTATTTTGTATCACAACATGTATATCAATAATTTAACTTTTGAGATATAATATTTATAGCAAAAGTATCTTTGCAATTTTATGTTATTAAGAATCATTGCCATATACTATTTCACTGTACAAATTCAATACAACCGTTCACTCAGCATTATGCGAACAGTTATATTGAATGCATGCAATGTTATACAGTATCAACCTGCAGCTATTTAGATATTTTACTTCATCACTAGACTGTAAAGCAATCCACATATTCTATATATACAATGAATATGATGTCCATCAATGATTTGTAATAACCCAAATTCGCAAAAAATACATTTGCTATAAATATTAGGTGCGAAATGTAAAAATATTAATATACATTAAGAGACATAAAACAATCATGCGAACGAACATTTTAATTATGTACGATAGTGTTGACTTGTCGTTGTTGGAAAACACTGGGTTGTACACTATGGTTTCATAGTGTCATACAGTTACATTATGTTACAGTGTTGTTTATGTTGTTGCTGGAAAGCACTCTATATTAATAAAATGTACATGCAAACAAATGTTTTTTGTTTTTACATATACTGTGTCATACGAAGTATGACAATATTTCGTTGTTGAGAAAAACTCACAATTATTTGACCTAGAACATTAAAAATGATAACAACAATTTTGCTTTTAATTATATAATATACGTAGCGGACTGTTCTTATTCAAACGCTTCTTTGCTTATCTCCACTTTGTCTGAAAACATTATATTTAAATAATATTTATATTATATATATATTATTTATATTATATATTATATGTTAACGATTTTTTTTTTTTTTTTGGCGAGTCTCGTCACTGTGCCGTATATTAACGATTGAAACTTAGATTATAGCCTATTTGTTTCCCTAACATATACCAATAAAATATAGATATATCTATTTATTCATAATATTTTCAGGATAATGAATATTAATAATTATAAAAATAACAAAGTACATATCTACTTTTTTTATTTCATTCTTGATATTTAGTTTTTACGAAATGTGTAAATGTTTGCAAGTTCCTTTTCATTTGCTAATCCGATTATTCCACGAACACAATTTAAAAACCCAATTAGTCTAGGGAATTTTTTCCCCTAGTACATTAATACCATTGCAATTGATCCGAGTGGAAATTCTATTACTATACGTAAACACCCTAAAGAAGATTAGCGCAGCCTGAAATTATATAGGATGACATTTCTGTACGTAATTGTTGACACAGAACTTTTTGAGAAAAACATAAAATTCAATAAAACGACATTCGATGGTCGAAAATTCAAGATGCGATTTTTTTAGCGTCTTTGAGAAATTGTTACGCTAGACTGCATACCACGCCAACTTCGAATATCTTCGGTTATGATCGTTAAAAAGCCAACGATATCTTATTGTAAAAAGAAACGATCAGCGAATAAAAAAGGAGAGCGCTCTCGCTCCCCTTATCGCAAATTAGCTAGCCCTCTTGTCTAAAAGCTCACTTCATACTCCATCCCTATATTCTTAATGGTGTAGATATCTATTTTCTCCGTGATGTAGATACTAAGGCCTATTCCACAATACGTGTCATTGTTAGATGCCAGAACGTAGTCGGGGGTCCAATAAGGAGAACTCACTTTCGAAAAATAAATTCTTATTGAAGCATCGGCTGCGTTGCGACATCCGACTCCGACGTATTGTAAAACAGGCCTTAGCGAATTTGGTCTTTTGCACTAGTGCACATTAAGTCAGACTTACAATAAGTCTGTTCATTTTCGCTGCACCGCTGAACTAGTGCAATAAGCTAAAGCGAGACAAGTATATGTTTTCTCACTTCACTTATTGCACTAATTCAGCTGTACAGCGAAAACGAACAGACCTAATTCATTCTCATATTTAACATTTTCTCCAGTTCATCCTCAGATGCTTCTTAGCCAATAAAATAATTCGTGCAGTATATAGAAATAAACTTGATTTTAAAGTTGCGTTCAAAAATTCACACTGTGTACAATTCCACTAGATACCAGCTGTTCTGAAACACCCAGGCTATATTCGAAAACATCACTCTTTAGTGTGCTTTTGTGACTTCAGTGAGTGAAATGACAAAATGACGTTTGTGTGAACTTGTGTCACCAAATGGAAAACACCAAATAACTCTATCATGTGACAGATCTAATACACCAAGCGCGAAGTAGATTGCGTAATTGTCGCCGATTGCTTTCTTCATAGACTTTACAATCTCGAGAACAGTATCTATATGGACGATAAAGGATCAAAGATTTCAGTGTCTATATGCGATAAGAAAGTGAATGGTTTACTCCAGAATTGACATAATCCCGTCACCGTTGTTAGCTTAGTGAAAACAAAAAAGAAAACGAAGACATCATTCGGAGGAAAATGTCAAAGATTGAAGAAGCGACCGACCACATACGGCAAGCCGAGAAAGCGTAAGCGCGTTTATGATTCGTTACCCCCCTTCTCGTAGACGTTTTCATCTCTCTTCGTGATGGCTCGACGTTCCCGGGTCGCGATATTTTTCAACTCAGTCAGATTTTCAATTACCTTTCGGCACCTCGCGTGTTTAAATCGTAGTGTTCTGCATGTATTATATGTCAAATGAATTTCACAGCTTGAAGACGACTTTACTGAAATGGCGTCCTGATTTTGAGGTAGCAGCTGATGAGTATTCAAATGCAGGTAAATGGAAAATATAAGCAGGACAACATTAAAAAAAATATCGAATCGTGACGACTTAAAAAATTAAAGTTAAATATTCTTGCAAAAACTTTACATTGAATTATTTCATATAACATTGTTTAATATTGATCATATTGATTGATTTTTCTGTGTTAGCTACATGTTTCCGAGTAGCCAAATCGTACAAAGAGTGCAAAGAATGTTGGGTAAAAGCAGGTGATTGTTACAAACAAACTAGATCGTATCCTTTAACTCATAATAGGACAAAACAACAGATTCAAATATATATAGTTCAAGTGTATGATTCAAGTATATATGATTCTGTTCTAGATATAATAAATTTTTATTCCACTTCCAAGGATAAATTTAAATTTTTTTAATTTAGAAGAGTATTATGTACATACTTTTTTGTTACACATATATATCTATATGTAACACTATTTTATCATAATTTTTATCATAATTTATATTGATATTATTTACTTGATTTATTCTTCATTATATTTTTCTTTGTCCTATATTTTTTTATGACGTTCTAAGCCAAAAATATTATGTTTTCAAACAAAAAAGTTTAATATACATTTCTATCAATTCTCCTTAAAAAAATGTACTGCTGCAACATAGATGGTTCCATGCTGCAAAGTATGTATCATGCATATATATATATATATATATATAT